TCACCTGGAGACAATTGATATAGATTGTTCGCCTCTGAAAGCCTACTTTCATTCACTTTCACCAGTTCCACTTCATTTTGCTTCTTGACAACCTGTCTGAACGAGCATGCAAACGCATGTAGGCAAAAACAAGGATAAGTGAATATGTCGGCTGTGTTTCGAATATTGGCAATTCAAGGTCATACCTCATTTTAGGTACGGTGAAAATTCGAAGGTAGCAAACAACCCCCATAATGCAACCGATCGTCAGAAACAGAAGGAGCACTGAGAGAACCACCACTACGGCTGAAACCTAAAGGTGAAGTCAAATTCGAATTTAACTGATAAATTGATAATCAAAGAGTGACTGCATTTGGTAGTTGTGGAACGAAAATTCCTATTTTCAAGTTGAAGCTTAAATTGAGAGTAATATAGCCATATCTCTTGGTTTCAGAAGTACAAACTCCTACACATCGACTTTCCACATTAATCTACATGCCTGGATGTTCTTCATAAAGTATGGGTCTCTGTTGGTGGTGAATTGATTTCCAATTCTGTTGAAATAACCGTATTACTTCCTCTCAAACAGACACGCTCAACATTCACATTCGTATTCACAGTTGAAGTTACTTGTCATTTAAAAATCCGAACTACTCAAGACACACAATCGGCAAATAATGGAAATGCAATTACCTTGAAAGAGGAAACCTCACATGTGGGGCCTTGCCAACCCTGAGCACAGAGGCAGGAAAATGTTGTTTCATTGGAAGTGTCGGCAACACAGTGACCACCATTTGCACAGGGTGAATGACCAAGTCTGAATGTTTCCAAATCACAAGCATCCCCTCTTCGCGTGCCCTGGAATAATAACAGTATGATTAGCAGTATAGAATCACCACTCTTTGAAGCATGCAATTGGCTGAATAGAATCATGTCAAGAAATATGTGCAAATAAGTATTGTTGATAACGGCAATCAAATTCTTAAAATTAGATCCTTATATAAATTTTAATTAAAAAGCTATCAGTCCTTCACTTTTAAATTATTAAGCATTAGACCATTGTATGCTACTAAGAGTAAATCAGTAGAATGATCATACATTGAAGGGTATCTCACAATGCGCACCACGCCAACCGGGAGCGCATAGGCAAGTAAATTGTGTCTCGTTAAATGGGCTGACAACACAGTGGCCCCCATTCGTACAAGGCGGATGTCCCAGTTGAGATTCTTCATATTCGCAAGCATTCAACTCTTCCTCACAGTGAAGTCCACCTCTTCTCCCACTGCAATTCACACATTTCGCGAAATTCATGTGTTCGCCAATGGGCACGCACGTTCCCCCATGCAAACAGACATGTTCTGCACAGGGATCGAAGCCTTCTTCACACCTTTTACCTTATTGAAGGAGAGGCAATAGATATCTTGAGTATCTGAATCAGAATTCAACTTATTCATTCAATGCAGTGCATGCGGTTTACCTGAAACACCGTCACACATACAAGCATAGTGTTCGTCCACTCTACCACATGACGCGAATGAAGCACAAGTCACATTGTAACACTCTCTCTCCAATTGGCACTCGTCACCGTAGTAACCTGAAATGTTGTGGCAACACAGTAGGGGACAAAATGTATTTGGTGCAAAGTAGGGCTTTGACAACAGAGAGTGGTGCGACTTCCAACTTGCAGTCAATGCCACCAACCATACGCTTTAACTCACGTATCTCTAAAATCTTATCTTTCACCAATTCCATATTCATGCAAACTATTCTGCAACTGAGGAGCCAAACTTCCCAATGGAAACCGGTATTCAGTGCAAATGTGATCCAGGTGATATCAAAGCTATGCTTCAATTGAAAGGAA